ACCTACCAAATTAAACTCCTTTAAATTAAATATTAAGTTAAATACCTTCAACGTTATGAGGAGGGAATTCTTTTGGTCATTGTTGGCTTATTGAGATAACTTAAAGTCACTTCTTCCTCAATGGAAACAAATCATGGGTCATGCGATGTCCCCAAATGTTAGTTATAACTTAAAATGAGTTATTGCGTTTGTTAAAATAACTCAATATTCAATAAACTTGTAGGCAAAATTGGTATTCACATAAAATATGATATGACAAGGAGTTGTCATGCTAATAAGATTAAGAATTACGTTGGATGCAATTGGTAAGGAGTTACCTACTTAATCCTTCATTTATGACTTGATGAGATTACTCAAGGTTAATACATGTTAGAGAATGAGATCCTAACCTACTAAGGAAAATGAATCAAAAAATTTTCTCAAGTCCTATATTGAAGGTTATAGAACTTGAAGAAAATAGTAAAAGCGAACATAGATTTTACTTCTTTAATTTATGTTTTATTTTATTTTATATAATTTAATTAACTGAATTATATGTTTTTCTATTCTATTAAGATTATTGCACGAGTATGACTAGCAATATATCGAGGAGATCGATAATCAATAAGAGTAGTACCTTAAATGGCACAAATTTCCTTGACTAGAAAATGAATAAGAGGAATGTCCTCTAACATGAGCAAATGCTCTATACAATAGACAATAAAGAAAAACATGAAGTGGTGCAAAAAAAAGTTTTAAATAGCACCTTAAGTATTTATGTTATTGAAGTAAACTTTCCTACTTCTAGTCCCACATCATGGGTATTTGCTATTAGATATGGTGTACTCATTTGCATACATTTGAAAGGACTAAAAGAAATAAGAAAAATCATTTTAGGTAATGTTGATCTACACATGGGTGATAGTTGAAGAGTTGTACCATTAACGGTAGGCACCTATGAGTTAGCACTACCATCCGGACTTGTGCTTACACTAAAAAACTATTATTATATTCTTGGTATAACTAGGAATATCATTTTCATTTTTTGTTTGGACCAAGATGGTTTTTCATTTTTATTTAAGAACAAAGGTTGTTCCTTTTATAAAAAATATGTTTTATATGAAAATGCTAATATAAATAACAATTTATATGTTTTGAACATAGACACACCTATATATAACATAAATACAAAAAAGATTGATTTAAACAAAACGTATGTGTGGTATTGTCGACTTGGCCATATAAATGAAAATCGCATATCCAAACTACATAAAAATGGATATCTATAATCATTTGACTATGAATCTTATGATGTCTACAAATCTTTCTACTTGGCAAAATGATGAAATCCCTTTTTAGTGGAAAAGGTGAAAATGTGCTAATTTGTTAGGCCTCATACATAGTGATGTATGAGGGTTATGTCCACCTAAGAAAGATGAGGATATGATTATTTCATAACCTTTACCGATGATAGATCACATTTTGATTATGTCTATTTGATGAGATGTAAATCGAAGTATTTAAAAAGTTCAAAGAATTTAGGTTTGAAATCAAAAAACAAATAGGTAAAAGTATTAAGGCACTTCGATCAGCTCAAAGTGGAGAATACTTAAACACTAAATTTTTAAATCATTTAAAAGAGAATGGGATTCTCTCACAATAGACCCCATCTAGAACACCATAAATGAATGGTGTGTCTAAAAAGAGGAATAGGACAATGTTAGACATGGTTCGGTCCATGATGAGTCAAACTAATGTCTCCATTTTATTTTAGGGATATGCACTCCTTACCGTAATATTTATTTTGAATAGGGTTCTAATAAAATCTGTTGATCGGACTTTATGTGAGATATGAAAAGAAAAGAAAACAAATTTATCTTCTCTTAAGATTTAGGACTATGAAGCATATGTCAAACGTTTGGATGAAGACAAGCTAGAGCCCATGTCATCAAAGCATAAATTTGTGAGATATCCAAAAGAAACAAATGGATATGACTTTTACCAACCATAAGAATAAAAAGTGTTTGTGGTTAGGCATGTTGTATTCCTTAAGAAGAAATTAATAGATGCTAGGACTAGTGGGAGAAAAGTTAAACTCGATGAGATTCATAAGTCGACACTCTACAAGAGGAAACCTAAATAAAAAAGTTACAAAGTATTATAACTATCCAATAAATTGATACATAAGAACTTCATAGGTCTAAAAGGATTCATCAAGAGCTAGCAAGGTATGACCTTCTAGTCTCTACACATAAAGATGTGTCCATTATACGAGACAACGAACCTAATACCTATGAAGATGCAATGTTATACATTGACTCGAAAAATGGCATAAGGCCATACAATCCGGAATGGAATCCATGTACATTAACCAAGTATATACTTTGGTTGATCCATTTGAGGGTGTCAAAACCATTAGGTGTAAGTGGGTCTTTAATAGAAAGACCGACATGGATGGATGTATACATACGTACAAAGCAAAATTGGTGGCAAAAGGATATTATAAAAAAAAAGTGTTGATTATGACAAAACTTTTTCACCGAGTAGCAATGGTTAAATCCATTTAATATGTATAGTTGACATAACAAACAAATGAACATTATAAATGATGATTCAAATGATGTGATCTTAATCTTAAAGTATAAAATTTAAGAAATTGTTATGTTTAGTGGTTTAGTTGAGGTATAACTAAAACTAATTATTGGTGGTTTGGGTTAGTATGATTTGGCCAAGATCTAAAGTTGGATTAGTTAATTTAGTTCCATGTATTAGTATTGATTTAGTGTTTTGAGAAATTTATCCTTTAATGAAAAGGTTTATTATTCAATAGTGTTCAAAATGATTAATTAATAATTAAGTTAATTACTGGAAGTTATGTTTATATTAAATGAAATTGATTTAATCTTATAGATATATTTAATGAAAATTAAAGTGGAAATTTATTATGTTTTAATCAAAAACTATTTTAAGAAATTTGAATATTTTTTCTATAAATATATTTTGATGAATATTTTGTAATGTATTTAGATGTTTTAATGAAATTTTTTAATATGATAAATGAGAGGATTGACCTAAATTTTAATTTATATGAACTTCCTTCGTGTATATTATTTACTATTTGAGGAAGAAAACATGAGGTTTAATGTCTCGTATTCATTATACTTCAAATGTCGGGCATTACGGTAGCATTCTTGACATACTTTAGATCCTTAGTTGGGAGTGTTATACTTTTGGTCAATGAAGAAGTTAGCAATAGGCTAGTATTGTTTTTTTTTTCTTATGGTGAGAAATGTAAAATAGACCAATACCAATTAATAGTCCAAATAAATTTTAGAGGCCAATTTGTTATTCTATTTTTATATGTGCTCATTTTTTACATGATTTGTGATTTATATATATATAATTTATTTATGTTTTTCACTTGATGTTTATTTGATATGATAGAAATCTAGGTCAATAAAGATGGGTATGTTTAGGACATAAGACCAACTTTGTTAAAATGACGAGTTTTAGTTATTATTATTATTGTTGTTGTTGTTGTCTATTTTATTTTATTTTATTTTTTCAATTGTAATCATTTTATCTTCTTGTATATCTAGCTCCGAACTTGATATTAGGTCTTGAGCCTAATTTTATTATTTCAAAATGGCATGATAAGTTGATATAAGTTCGAAGTCTATATCTATATTACTTGAATTTTCTATTATGGATTTTTAATTTTTATTGCATGGTTTGGTAAGTGAACTTGGACTTATGGTTTAAATTTATTTTATTTTATTTTTATATATTTTGTACTAGTCTTTCACTAGACACACAACTTAGGCCTCTCATAATGAAAGAAGTCTCACATTAAGAAGACCCACCAACACCGGAATCGATGTCTATCCTCATAATAACTCTATAAGAAACATCTAAATATACCCCTAACTCTTTCCGAGTCGCTCATATTCCCATCCATAAGAGAGAGGGGTAAATAAGTTTTCCTAAAAAAATTAAACAATGCGTTAAAATTATTTCATAAAGAAATTTGAAGCACTCAAAGGAAAAGAAAAACTCCAATAATCAAGCTTATATATGTAAAGAAGAAACTCCTCAATTAGGACACTTCAAATCTAGGAGATCACCTCATGCTAATGTAGCAACATTATATCAAGTAAACATTTAATGTGTAGGCTTTTAATGAGGATAATCATTATTCTTATAGGAAACATAAGAAAATATTGTCATACACGACAATAGAAGAGCCAAGAATGAAAACACTTGCTTTTCCCACACTCAAAGCTACCAAACTTGAGGTGCTAAAACACAAAAAGAAATGTTTGCTAACCAACTAGTATCAAGCCAAGACAACAAATAGAATATTAATGATCACTTTTAACTAGAGAACAAGCCCTTTGAAGTGCCTAACAAATTGTTTTAAAATCTAGGCTAACCAAACTAGCAAAAAATTGGAGGAAGATTAGGGGTGAGCAAAATTCAAAAAAAAACTAAATAACCAAATCGAACCGAAATTGCTATGTCGATTTATTTTTTAAAAGAAAAAAAGAACCCTAATTGAAATTATTTTGATTTTCAATGTCCAATTCAGTTTTTAAATTTTGCAATCGATTTAAGTGGAAAAATAAAGTTATTTTTTATTTTTATTTTTAATATATAACTAAAATTTTAATTTTGCAATAGAGTTTAACAAAAACCCTAACCTACTAAAATCAAATTTCCCTTTCATTCCCTAATATCAGTCTTCACCCTTTACTCCTCAAACACTCACATGTCATGCCACACCACACTCAATCACTCACATAGCTTAGAGCTAGCCACAGCTCATAGACCTAATCTTTAAGTCACATTCACCTTGTCACCCGGATAAAGGTACGTAATATAGCGTCACAAGTAGTTAACCACCCTTACCCCACCCTATCCTCACCTTGCATAGACTCTAGATAGCCAACCACCTCTAACCTCCTAATAATAATTAGTAATAATTACTCAATTAATAATCAAAGAGGGAGAGAGAAGCCAAAATGGCTAGCCACTTGTTAGAACCCATCACTCACCTACCCACACTACCATCATCACTTAACCATGGCCCTAATGTTATAAACAACCTCACTACTATTTCCTTTCAAAATCCAAAATAAACCCATCAACCTATTAATATTTCTCAATCAAAAAACTAGTCCAATCTCTCTCTAATAGATAATAAGCCATCAAACACAAGTACATATGCTTCCCTTTTTGGTTTTTGTAAATGCTCAAAATTGGGAAAATATGTTCATGCTCACACAATCAAAATAGGGTTTCATGGAGATGGATTTATAGACACCAAGTTGCTTCAAATGTATGGAAGGCATGGTTTGTTGAAAGATGTAAACTTTTTTTTTTGAAATAATACCAATAAGAAACTTATATTCTTGAAAGTAATTGTTAGTGCGTATTTGGATCATGGTCAAATTACCTACCACTTCTAGCACTCTTTTGCCATTCTTTTGTTCTGTAACAAAACAATACAAAAAGTCAACAATAGTGTCCAATACTCCAATTTAGGCTCCTCTCATATCTCTATAAGCTGCATGAAGTTGGCATGTATTTAGCATAGGAAGTTCGACCCAAAGGCCAAATCCCATCTAAGAAAAAAATTAGTTTTTAACCAAATTAATTAAAAATTGAAACCAAAATCTTGTTAAAAAAAAATACCAAATTTCAATTTGATTTGGTTTTGGTTTTTAATTTCAATAATTTGGTTAACCAAAAACTGAATTGAAATTGTCAATAATTAAACTCGAATAACCGATTGATCACCCATAAGGAAGATACTAAAAATAGGGATCCTTTTTTTTAACACAACCCAATAAGAAGAGCCCAATGGCTTCCAACTCTAAAATTCATTAAGTCTAATCGAGACTCATAAATCACTAAGAAGGGCTAGCCTGTTAAGCGAGGCTTAAAACACTTAAAAGACACTAGAGGGCATCCTTTTAAAAGAAGAATTAGGAATGTATTTATCTTAGGGGTTTTGCTCTAAAAGACAAGTATGTTGCTCTCCTATACTATCATTTAGACAAAAAAAAAAATTAAATCAAGGATCTCTAATGATAGCATTAATTAGATCATCGCTCATCATAATTATATTAATACTACCGTATAATCCAATACAATATGGCAAAGCACCAATACTTGTCCGTAAAAGATATTTCTATCACTTTGACCATGCAAGAAGCTTTCACTATTGCTTATATAAAAAAGAACCTTTCACTATTGCTTATATAAAAAAGAAGGGTCCTAAAGAATAAAGGATATGATCAAGACTAAAAACACACACACACAAGTCCAAGAGAAAAAATAGCATACAAGTGCTACACATACTAGAGAACTCTTGAAAGAAAAAGAAAGTATTCACGTAGTACTTCTTCTCTTACAACAACTCCAAATACAAGCCATACTTTGTATCATAAGAACTATAAATAGGTTTTTAAATCACTTTTTAAACATGCCTATTCCACATCTCTCTTATACTTTTGCTAAACTACAAGCAAACTAGTATGTACTATCATATAAAAGCCTTTTTAGGCTATTCACCACCTTTCGATCACTAACTTTGACATCGGAGGGTCTCTCATCTAACTAGAAAGACTTATTTTATAAGTACATGATGTATGAGGACTTCGTCTACACTTTACGAATGCTCATCAATTGTTACTCGCCATTACGAATTAGTATCCTAAGTTTGTTGGTCAAGTCAAATGATGACTCATCAACTAAAGAGTAATTGTATTACTTTAATATTTCTATTCATTCCTAATTCATGATATTCTATGATTCCTACTAAATTTACTTAGTTTGATTTAAAAAATCATAGTTGTACTAATTATGAAAAAAAAAGAATCTAGTTGAACACAATACAATATTGTTAAAAAAATGTAAAGGATAATGATTAAACCTAATGTAAATATGAATAAAAACCAATAAAAATCTAATCGAAGAAAAAAAATTATAAATTGAGTTAAAGCTGAATAGGCCAAACTAAATCGAGTAAAATCAAATTTCAACATCCATAAAATCAATGAAATCGAAACCTCCACACACAAAATTGTCGAAGGCCAAAAGCTTTCAACTCTAAATTAATTAATGTCGAAGCCTTCCAAATTAGTTTAGTTAGATGATTTTGATGAGATCCCCATTATGTCCTTAGCTAACGAGTGATAAATAACACCACCTTAAGTAATCGAATCAAGAATACAAAAAACATGAAATTTTATGCAAGCACGAGGATAACATAAGAGATAGTTAAGATAAGTGTCTCAAGAATTTCATTAATCAATAATCAAATTTCTTGAGACAATTCTTTCAATTATCTCTTGCATTATCCTTGTGATTTTTTAGGGTTTTGTATTATTATTTTTTTAGGGTTTACCCCATAATTGGTCCCTATACGAGTTTAATTTTTTTTATTGAGACCTTCTATTATTTTTTAGTTTGATTGAACCCCTTTACTCTTATAATTTATTGATTGAGACCCTCCATTGTAACACCATTAACTATTCATCCTATGTGGTAGTTAAACTAATTATAGCCATCGGATAATGACACATGGTATAATGGGTCTCAAATATCGATGGTGCTATCATAAATTAAAAAAAGATATAAAAATATTTTTAATAATAAATTAATGTTTAAAATTGAAAAATGAAATGAAAAGATAAATTTACCCCCACCCATCATCCCAAAACCAAATCAATTTTTTTCATTCAAAATTCTCATTCCCTCTCTCTCTCTCTCTCTCTCTCTCTCTTTACCCATCACAGATTCCTACTTGTTCCATCATTTGAAATTTGAGACTTAGCACCCATGAAAAATTTCTTCATCTTTGTATCAAAATATATTGTTTGTTGATCAACCTTATAATAAAGCAAAATTAAGACAAGAAAATAAGGATAGGTGAGAGACCGGGATAAATGCAAAACTTAGAGAAAAGAAAATATAGAACCCAAAAGGTAGCGATGATGGTGTGATAAGGAAGCAAGGGATGATTGGTTAGTGTTTGGTGGAGTGCTCAAATCGACAAAGGGATGGGTCTATAGAGGTGTGGTTTTAATGGCGATGAATCGATTTGTAGAGAGAGAGCGCACGGTCGTGCAAGAGAGGGTTATAGAGACAAAAATGAAGCAATGATAAGAATTAAGGTTCATGAGTTGAGATAGAAATCAAAGGCGAGATCTTTTGGCTCGGTTGAAGGATCTCAAAGTTGAACTTGCTCTCCTTCGTATTACTAAGGTCACCGATGGTGCTCCTAACAAGCCCTCCAAGATCAAGGAGGTGAGTTTGTCCATTACACGAGTCTTGACTATGATTTCACGAAGTAGAAGGTCTGTATTGAGGGAGGCATAAAAGCTTTTGCCTCGATCCGTATCCCAAGAAGACTAGAGCGATCCACAAGAGGCTTACCAAGCATCGGTTATCATTGATAACCGAGCGTGAAAAGAAGAGGGAAATGTACTTCCCAATGAGAAAGTATGCCATTAAGGTGTAGGGTGCCATCTATCACATAGGCTATTTTGATCATCTTTTTTTAACCCATTTTGTTGACAAGTTTCGACTTTGTATCATCTTTGTGTCTTGTTTATGAACTAGAGTTTCATTTTTTTTTTCAATTTATGTTTAAAAAGGGAAAGGGTTTATCTTACTTATAACCAAAATGCTAGATTTAAATTGGAATAGTAGTCGAAGAGGATTTTTGATTAAAAAAAAAAATTGATTTGCAAAGGGTGGTTTTGGCGAAAATAGCGGTGGTGGAGTTAGTGGCCATGGAGTTTTGTATGAAATAGGTAAATGGGTTTGTTGTTTCGAATTAGAGAAGCCATGGTTTTTTTTTTTTCTAGCGGTTCGGATGAATGGGGAGGAAGATGAATAGTGGCAATCTTCTTACCCATTTTTTTAGCTACTTTTTTTTTAATGTTTGATAAATAGCAAAGAAGAAAATATTTATATTTAAAATATTTTTAATTTTTTTTTAATTTATGATAGCAACACCGATATTTGAGGCCCATTATGTCATATGTCGTTGTTTGATTGGCTACCATTAGTTTTAATTGCCACGTAGGATGAATAGTTAACGATGTTATAATAGAGGGTCTCAATCAAATTAAAAAATAATAGAGAGTCTCAATCAAAAAAATTAAAATTGTACGAGAGACCAATTATGGGGTAAACCCTTTTTGTTATACTTGATTTGATTGCTTAAGGTGATTCTATTGATGATTATTAGCTAAACTCGTAGTGGGGTTCTAAATCTTATCAAAATCAATCAAAGCTAGGGTTACTTATTACCTTAAGAAGTTTTGGCTTTAATCAATTTGGGGTTGAATGATTTCGACCTTTAAAATTTTTGTGTTTGGAGGTTTTAGGTTTATTGAATTTAAGGGAGTTGAAATTTGGTTTTAATAAACTTTAGGTTGGATTATTCTTCTTTTACTTAATCTTCATAAATCGGTATCAACTTGGTATCAAAGCTTTGGTTTGCTTTCCTAAAGTGTTCTTAAAAATATTTGTAAAGATGCTTAAAAAAAAAAAAAACCAACCAAATCACAACCATCCATCTTACAATAAGATAAAGAAGTTACGAATAATCGGGGAGCAACTTGAATGTATCAAATGCCAACTTGATCTTATTCCATCCAAAATATAAAAAGAAGATTTATAACAACAAAAAGATGATTTTGAATCTGAATTTTTTCTAGTTCTTTTGTGAATTAAAATCAACCTCCAAAATTTAATAAGTAACGAAGTGAGATACCCAAAGAGGTTACAAATTTTAGTAGATAGATAGAGCATAAGCTATAACAAAAGAGGAAGATCTATTTAAGTTTGATGCATATGAAAACCTAATTTTCTTATGAATTTGGATAGTAAAATTTGGACGAGTAAATTTAAGTCTAGGAGTCCAAAGGTGAGGATGACTCTTCTAATTTTGTTGTAAATTCAAAATCACTGGAGAAAAAATTTAGATATAGGGCTAACTTCTTTCCCGATTCAATTAAAAAAGAAAGATTTATAATGTTTATTAGGATCTTTCATAATTTTTTTTATTAAGAACCTATATCTTTAATGTTATTTAACAAGTTTTGAGCATGATTCTTAAAACCAATCAAAATCAATTGCCAAAACTTTTGGAAAAAAATGTTCAATCTACAATAAAAGAGTGCTTGTTTTAAAGGAATATATCATGCAAGTTATCAAGTTGGATTTCAAATTCATTCTTTTTGTGATAATCTTTTTGATCTTTCCCATCTCAATTTAGTTTCCTTATAGTTTATTAAGAAGTTGATCATAAAGTATTTTGTTACAAACAAGTAGGCTAATTAGATGGATATCATTACTAAAGTTGGAAAATTTTGAAAATCAAGAGAATGGAATGTTTTTAACTAATGTTACTATTGAACTCAAGGGTGAGCACTTTTTAAGAAAAAAAAAAGTCAAGACTTCAAGGACGAGTCTTCTTGAATCCAAAGAGTTTGACACATGAGTATTCATGGTTTTGTTTATTTAATTAGGAAGTCTTGCTATTTTTTAGTTTAATTAGGAAGCCTTGCTATTTTCTTGTTTAATTAGAAAGCTTTGGTATTTATTTTTATTTTTATTATTATTTGTCATTGGGTGCTTATTTTTTGAGAGATTCATTTTGTGTTTGGATTGCTTTTCGGTTTAGTTTTTGTTTTTAGTTTCATAGTCCATTTACTATTTAGAATTTATTTTAGCTGTTTTTTTTAAAAAAGATGCATTGCTTTTACTCTTAGGTGTTTTTTGGTTGCTAAGAATAAAAAGTTCGAAATTAGAATGCTAGAATATGAATGAAAATTAAGAAATCGAAATGATATTTATAATTTCATATTGTGTTTGGAGTAATAATAAGGAATCGAATGAAATTTAAAATTTTTAATATTTAATTCGTAAGAAAAATAATAATAATGATGATTAAAAAATAATTTTATCAACTATAATAATAGTAGTAAAGAGAGAGGTGATAGTGGTGATGAAATGGGAAGAGTAAGAAGAAAGAATAGTAGTAATAGTAGTATAGTAAGCAATAATATATTTATTTAAAAATTGTGACCAATGGAAGAAGAGAGGTAGTAATGGTGGTACAATAAAAGTGAGGGTAGTGGTGAAAGAGAAGTGGTGTCTAAATAATAATAATAATTTTTTATTGTTTTTATCACCATCTCTAATGGTAGTGGTGGTAGAGATGGATGTGATATCATGGTAGAAGTTGTTGATATATAATAAATAAAAAATAATAGATCACTATTTTGAAAAAAAAAAATCATTCACATTTTTAATTTTTATTCCCACCTTTTTCTCATGAAAATAAAACTATGTTTAATTTTTATTTGAGTAAATTATAAATCGATCTCTCTTATTTTGATAAACGAATTATTAGTCCCTTTGGTTTTAAAAACTAATTATTTAGTCTTTTTAACTAGCGTTGACCATGACTAATATTTTTTTTTATTTTATAAAATGTCTTCTTTTTTCATCAATCTTTCTATATTTTTAATTATTTTTTATTCCTTGTCTATTTCTTAATACAAAAAATCAAAATAAATTGAAAAGTAGCCAAAAGATCGAATAATCGCATTTTCAAACCAAATGGACTAATTAATTTATTTCTCGAAGTGAGAGGGACTAATTTATAATTTACTCTTTTTATTTTCATTCTCTCACTATTTATTCTTATTCCCACTTTATTTTTTTCAACCAAAACACATACAAAATAAAAATAAAATTTTCATTTTTATTTTCACAATTTCATTTTTTATTTCCAAACAGCTATAAAAGCCTTCTTTTTTGCGTCATGTAATAAAAATTAGAGAGAGACCAAATCAACAAGCTATCAATCTATAAATCATTTTTCTATAATCTTCTAACTTACCAACTAATAGCTAAGTCTAATACGTTTCAGGTGTGCTGAAACTTGAAAGAAAAAGCTCTAAGAGCTGCTTGCAACTTGCCAGTGCTGCTGCGTGTCTTAAGTGTTTTGTTGTTCGTCATGGTCTTATACTACAACTTTACAAGTGCCCATGCTATCGTATAATGCTCTGTGTTTGCTATTTTTACTATTATCACACTCGATCTATTCGTTTCCACTCTCTTTCTAGTTATTAAAAAAATAGTTCATATCTTTATCTCTTGTATTTTCTTTATTATAAGCATTTCCAAATGACATAACTCATTTCCATTTAAACAAATTTTGGGTATAGCAACATGAATGTTACATCTTCTAATCTTTTATTGCTGCTAAAGGGAGTGATGTTCTCTTGCTAAATGATGCATTAAATTTACATATTTAATTTGATGAAAATTAGAACAAAATAATGTTTGAATAACTACTTACAAAACGTAAGTATTGTTGTAGCAGTAGTTTTATATATTTATAACAAAGTGTATTACATAAGGTATATTTGTATGTTAGAGTAGATAATACTAAATATAACTACATCAAATGTATTACACTTAATTATGAAGAATAATACATAAGTTACAGCTCTATTAACTGTTATTCTGTTGTACCAGACTCTCTTGCTTTTGCTGTTCCTTCTTGTTGTGACGGTTTCTAATTCCTACATGATCTGATAATGAACAATTACTCCATGAAAAAACCTGCCAACCATTGATTATTTTTTTCAGAAAAATAATGTCTCTACTACAGCCACAAAACATTTGCAATATTCAATTCATTCCTTTCCTTTTCACCATCAAACGTCAACACTGAACGGTGATATATATATATATATATATACAAAAGAATGTCTTATTTCTAGCTTTATTTATTTGATTTTTTCTGGCCAAATGCAGCTGGAGGCTTTTAATATTTATATCATGTGAACTCAAATGATTACTTTTTGAACTTTTATATATATATATATATATATAACTTTGCAGTGGATTAGAAATTTCTCTTAAAAACAAATATTTAGAATGAATATAAATCCTCTTATGTTTTTAAAATTTTGTTTATCTTTCTTGGAATGTGAAAATACGGTCTCTGATTTAGAAATGCAAGGACTAGATTTTTTTCTTTAATCTTCTAGATAATTCAAAATTTATATATTTAATGATAGAAGAAAACCTTTTTTTTTTAATGGATGGAGATACTATTATATATATATAAAAAAAAAAAATCTAAAAGATGTAGAGTGTTTACTATTAAATCTCTATTCTTCTACACTCATTTGCACTGTTCACTTGATATTATTGTAATTTTTTCATGTGCATTTTTCAATTAATATTTTTGTAATTGTTTTATGTGCACTATTCACTTAGCATTGTTATTATTTTTGTCCTTTGGTGATGCATTTGTGATGACATTATTGTGATTTTCAACCTTATACAGACATTTTATATGAAATTTTAACAAATGTTTTACTTTGATTTTTCTAAAACTTTTGTTTCGATTTCCAACTTTATTTATAGCACAATTTGGTCCCTAAAAGAAAGTGAAAGTGACGACCAAACCCATTCCGATTATTTTAATTGCCTATCTTAGTTTGGATTCATTTACCTCCAAGAAAAGAATATGTTTATGGTGGTCCAAATATGAAATTGTTGAAGAAAGGATGTCAATACCCCTAAAAACATTCACTTGAGTTTTTGAATTTGATTCAAATTTTTAAGCAAGAATATTTTTTATTTTTTGAGTAATAATTAAAATTAACAAAGGTTAAAAAGAAGAGAGAATTGATTGTTATACGCATGAAGCTTATATAGGGGACCAAACATGTATATTTTATAAATATAAATATATATTAAAAAGAAAGAAAAATGAAATCCATTTGTTCTGGTTACTTCTTTTTTACATAATAAAAATTTATCGAAATAAATTTTATAAGTATTCTTTTTATTGAAAATTGACTATACATATACACACAAAATATTTATCATTTACTATTTTTTTAAATGGATTTTTGAAATCAATTCACTCAAATAAAATAATTAAAATAATGTTTTTAAAAAATATTCGGTAGTATCATATTTTTCAAATAGATTTTTTTTATACAAATATTATTGATTATATGTATATATATGTGTGTGTGCATGTGTAAATTTTTTTCATAAGATTGCATAAAAAATAAAACAATAACTAATGTAAAAAAATTATAAATAATATTTAAAATTTAAAATAAAATTTTATCCTTATAAAACATCGATGAGAAAAATATGTGTGTGAATTTTTTTCCATAAGATTGCATAAAAAATAAAACAATAGCTAGTGTAAAAAAAAATTATAAATAATATTTAAAATTTAAAATAAAATTTTATCCTCATAAAATATCGGTGAGAATATATATATAGGGATGTTTCATTAATTAAAACTTGTATTATAAATTATGAAAAAATTTTATTTAAGAATCTATGCATAAAAAAAGTCTCTTTTTTTTTTTTTTGTTAAGAAGGAAATTTATCAAAAAAATAATAATTAAAAAATTAGATATATTTTAGTGAATATGTAGCATGGTAAGAGTCGTCATACTATAATAATTTTTCAAACAATTTTACATGTTCTATTCAATGATTTTCTATTTCAAAGTTTGATGTGCATTCCACGTACTGCTGAATGCGTGGCCTTCTTATCCCCATAAGTCTAACAGTCTTTTGAAGTCCAACTAAAGTCCCAAGCGGAAAGGTCAATTCAAAAGGCAAAATCTAAACACATAGTGAAAACTCCACGTTTGTTCCAAATTATTTCCAGAAACATAAATCTGGTAGAGAAAACATGAAAGCAGTGTCATTTTCATCAGCAAATCATTGCAACCTTAAACTCGAAAAGAATCTCACAAAACAACCAACAACTACAAACCCTATTGACTTCATCAATTACCAAAACCAGAAGCTATTAAACAAAAAACACCAATTTCCTTCATTTTCCATTAAAGCCTCAAAAACCACCCAAACCCCTGTAACTCAAAAACCCGAAACACCACCACTAGTAGTTGTTGGCTCAGCCAATGCAGATATCTATTTGGAGATTGATAGATTACCAAAAGTAGGAGAGACCATCTCAGCCAAGTCTGGACAGATTCTTGCTGGTGGCAAAGGAGCTAATCAGGCTGCTTGTGGTGGAAAACTTTCCTATCCAACATACTTTATGGGGCAAGTAGGTGAGGATGCACATGGGAAGTTGATCACTGAAGCTTTAAAGAATGGTGGGGTGAATCTTAATTATGTGAGGAATCTGAGTGAAGTGCCTACCGGACATGCTGTGGTGATGCTGCAGTCTGATGGGCAGAATTCTATTATTATTGTTGGTGGGGCTAACATGAGTTGTTGGCCTGAGAAGCTTAGTGATGAGGATTTGGAGGTCGTGAGGAATGCTGGGATTGTTTTGCTTCAAAGGGAAATACCTGATTCTGTTAATATTCAAGTTGCCAAGGTCAGACATTTTTATGGAATTGTAATCTTTTTTATTTTTTGAATGGTTTATCACTTATTCTTGATCCGTGTTTAGTGGTGATCATGTTGGTTATTTTTATTGTTTAGGATTTAAGGTCAGAGCTTTATAATTTCTTGCATCCTAGAGAAGCAATTATGTAATTGGACCGAGTGATTTTGCTTAGTGGGGGTTTTGGTTTAATATGTTTTGTTTTTGTGTATGGATTGAGCTTTGATCCTAATATGCTGCATTTCAATATATTAGGATGAAAGGATTTGGATTGAAGTTTTGTTTGAATGCTAGATATTATTTGTTTGTGGATAAGAATAACATTAACTGTATACACTCAGAAGAATGGCCATGGCTATGGGTTTAGGCTTTGTTGGTTTCAGTGAAATTTTTCATCAAGATATGCTGGGAAGACCAAAGGAAAAAGCCTGTGATTGAGATTGTGTGATTTTCAACATACATTTCTGGGGATCAAAATGAATTGATGTTTGTCCATGTTTGGAGATTGATAGCGAAGTCTTTTTGCTTATATTTTCTTTTTGGGATTGGGTTCCTACAGCTTGACTGAGATCTAGTTTCCTTGGTGTCTTCTTTCTTCCATCTATAACTATGACTAGAATAAGGTAAATCTATATGCAGTACATTACTTTACCATTGCAATTAGTTCTTGCTAGAAGCTTCGAAGAAAGTGGAGGTTACTTGTTAAACATAAATATGAGGAAGGTAGAGGTCATGATCTTTTGTTATTTTTAATTTTTTGGAAAAAAGAACGGACTTGCAGTTTGAGTTGATAAAGTCCCTAGAAATAATCATTTATATTTTTCAAGAACCGTAAATATTGAAAGAATATGGGATATTTTCAAGTTTGAGGCAATGGATTCCTCTGTTATAAAGATATTACAAGGAGAATATAAATAGGGATCAGATTATTTGATGGCTCTACTATTTTTGAAACCTTTTGGATAAAATTTCATTTGAACTACTGGGTATAGAATGTCCAGCATCTTCTACACTATTCGATAACTTTGAGTGTCCTTTGCCAGATTGTTGATTTTATATGGGCCAATAGTTGAAGGTAGTTATTTCTCTATGCCATGCGGTGCCCTCCTAAGCATCGGAAATTTTGTTGATACTAGCTAGGCGCCCCAAATTTCAAAATTAGTTTCCTTCTCATATCTTGTTGAGGAAATAGTCAGCTACTTCACAGAAATAAAGTGTAACAAGCAGTCTAGCACTGTTGTGTTGTTGGTGTTGAATGGGAGGTTAAAAAATGGTTCAGTTATGGAGGACTAAAACCTAGCTGGCTTTGACTACATGCTGTCTGCGTCAATACATGGAATAGATTTTAGAGAATCCTCTGGTTGAGTTCCAAGTTTGGTGTTTACTGTAGCCAACCTAAATGAAATTTTTTAAAGGAAGCTAGGGTCCCTTCTTTTGTGACTGATTTCAATTAAAAGGAGTAACTTCCATTATTAAATCCTTTCCTGGAAATATCCCAGGCATTAGAATTTTTGTTGCATTATCACATAGCATAACAACTATAATGTATAGCAAAAACATTTCAATCTGAATTAAGATGAGGTAAGAATTTTGGTGTATGATTTTGTTTTTGTGTGACAACCTTAAGTGCAGATATTTATCTATTAACCTGGAATGAAAGTGTTTTGAGCCATTCTCTGTCTTTGTCAGCATAAAATCCCTCAAGTTGTAACTGAATTATTTTAGCCATAAAGAAGATTTTCCTTTTCTTTAATTTCTCATGAATGAAAGCTTTAACTTGTATTGGTTTAACCAGTTGAGTTTATCTTGTGACCCTGGGCAAATATTTCCTAGACAACAGAACCATCTGCTCTTGTTTTAAGCAACATGACTATTTTCTTTGTTATCATCTTCCATCTTGGCATTTGTAAATATCTGCAATTTTTTATATATATTTTCGCCATCTTCTTCTTCAGAATGGGCACACACACACACATTGAAAGAGATATGTGTATGAAGATGATAACTTGAACCCTTGGAATTACTGGAAGTAAGTGGCACATAAATGCTTTCTCACATTGTTTTATAAAATTATCAAACTGCACGCCGGGGGGAGGGGGGGTGTCAATCAAGAAAAACTGGGATGAAACTAGGCAGGGAAATATTTAGTGGAACTGGACAAAGAATTTTGAAATGGAAAAATTGCACTTGCCTTCTGCTCTTTGCTCAAATTAGAGAAGACTCTGCTTACACAACCATTAAGGTAGCGCCAAATGTCTCAAATGCTTGAGCTCTTTGTGGCTGCTTGATTTAAGTAGATCATAAATGTAAGTGTGGTAGAGAATATGGTGCTATTATCTGCTGCTGGTTATTAGTCTTGAATAGTTGAATTATTTAATCATTTTTTTTTTTTTTTTGTCTTCTAGAAATCTCCACTGTGCTTTTGATTTGCATATCTGTGAATACGATTATTGAAAGTTTATATTGATTTCATGGATGTTTGACTAATCTTGTGGTTGATATCTAATTCCTTAGCTGCCAATTGACTTCAATGGTTCTGCATTCTCTCAGCTGGCACAATTATTATTCATAGCTTGGTTGATGCTTTTTTCTTGCAATCATTTCTGACCTCTATTGGATATGCATGTCTTTAGGCTGCAAAAAGCGCTAGTGTTCCTGTCATTTTGGATGCTGGGGGAATGGATGCACCAATGACCCCAGAACTGTTGAATGTTGTTGACTTCTTCAGCCCAAATGAAAGTGAACTTGCACGTTTGACAGGCATGTCAACTGAAAGCTTTGAACAGATTGGTCGGGCTGTCATTAAGTGTCATAAAATGGTGAGTTTGGAGATACCTGTCATTAATTGCTTTCTGTTGTACCTAAGGTTGCATTTGGTATGAGGTGAAAAATTTGGAGGGAGTAAGATCTTTGAGGGTGTAAAAAAGTTTTAAAGGGTGAAGTGTCAAGGATGTTTGGTAGAAGTTGAAAAAAATATGGATAATAGTGATCCTAGTGTAAATCAAATCAAATCAAATTTTATGTTAAATATAATTATAAAAAATTAAATAATATATATTTGCGGGCCAACATGGGAAATGGAAGAAGAAGAAAAAGAAAAGAATAAGTTAGTATTAAATTCAAAACAGGGAGGGAAACGCACAAAAGCCAAAAATTTTCCCCTTCATACCCTCCCTGCACAAGGTTAAACCTTTAACCCTGGGATTAAATGTTACCCTCTTTGAAAATTTTCCCTGCCCCCTAAATCATACCAAACATAATTAAAGGGGGTGAAAAGTCATGGCCTAACATACCAAACATGGCCTAACATGAGTATAGTTTCTTACAATTGCATATTTGCAATAATCAATTTTGTAAAGCATGTTTTGCTTATTTTTAAGAAAAATTAATTGCTATGTTGAGTCAGTAACCAATAGTTATCAGTTTATGGAAATCTATTGTTTGATTGCTCTTTTACACATTTACCCTCACCAATAAGGCCATTTCAACACCTATATTTATGATGGTTGAATAAGATAGCCACCATCAGTTTTTGTGGTGGCATGAAATGATATATCGGACTGAAATACTTTGTATGCCATAGAATGATATATCGGACCAACTAAATGTTCACCATATCTTCAAAATCAGAATTTATGTCAAGCTCATTTCAGTTTTTGTTTTGAGTAACTTGATCATCTCGTCATAGTGGATAGCTTTACTTATAGACAACCCAGGATTAGATGGCAACCATGTTTTGGAGTTGGTACTGAACTTTATATAGTTTAATAAGTCTACTTTCAGGGAGTTAAGCAAGTGCTAGTGAAGCTTGGGGCTAAAGGGTCAGCTTTATTCGTAGAAGGGGAAAAACCAATTCAACAACCTATTTTTTCTGCTGCTAAAGTCCTTGACACTACTGGTGCTGGAGATACTTTTACTGCTTCTTTTGCTGTGGCACTTGTGGAGGGCAAGTCAAAAGAGGAAAGCATGAGATTTGCTGGTATGGCTGGTGTTCTTTTTGTGCTTGTATCTTATATGCCTCTTTATTTTTTATTTTTCCTTTCATACTGATGTCGTCCTCACAATTCCCTTATTTATTTTTCAGCTGCAGCAGCTTCTCTCTGTGTTCAAGTGAAGGGAGCTATCCCTAGTATGCCTGACCGGACATCTGTTTTACATCTACTCCAGTTTGTTTGAGCCTTTGAGGGCATTTTCTAGCTCATAATCAGGTGCTCTAAACTAAATGCATATAAATGAAAAGCAAACCAGAGGTTTACTTTGTTTTCTGATAAAAACTGAAGTGTTGTTTAAAATGTAATAAAATGTCTGTCAAGATATTTGAAACGCTATCCGAAGATCATTTTGAACAGATTGCAGTTTACAAGTAAACTATTAAACAAGGGAGTGGCAAGGTTTTTATTGTGCTGAATATAGATTCATTTACCAAAGAATGACCCACTTCCTCTTTGTTTTTTTCCTTTCCCAAAAAATTGAGATTTAAGTCTCTTTTACACTAGAACTATAATCCATGTATTGGTAGGGGGTAAAAGTGGGATTACTGGAAACCTGCAAGTTTGGGATTGGATATTGATCTTGTATATTGCTGGCAACAAACACAGCTATAAAATAGATTGATCTTTGCTTTTGATTTGCGTATCAGCTCAGTTGGAACTGAAGTTTTTAAATCTTTAGTTTAAACTGAAGTGTATAAATTAACTCTCTCACAAACTGTAAAGTAAAACTAATGATTTTAACAAAATACTTAAGAGCATTCTGACTGTCTCTGTGTTTCACTATATTAATTTGTATTAATTCGTGATTCAGTTCAGCTTTGAGAAAGTTTAAAACTCCGAAATTAGAACAGTGAGAAATTGAAGAACAGGTTGTGGAGGCAGGTTCTCTTTGTTTCTTTTTCACATCAATCATTGCCAATTCATTAAGACATAGCTCCTCTTTTTCTATGCCTTTTGCCAGGGTATGGAGCTTAGATAATTACTTTTGTTTTTCTTCTTGAGTAATAATGCAAGCCCAAAATGGAACTTGGTCCCAAGGAGTGTGTTCAATAAATTGTATTATCAATATGCTAAAAAGTATTGGTTGGTGCACCATTGAGCCTCCAAATTTATTTATCATTCTCTCACCTTTTCTTATTTGCCATATTTTGTTTCTTTTTCACCTTTTCTCTACCAGTTAGCCCTTTATTCGTCTATCTTTCCTTATTTTCCCTTTTCCTCTTTCTATTTTTTCTTCCCCTCTCTTTCTATCACCCTCTTTCACTCTACTTGGCAACAAGAAACTCCCCACCGCATGCTCAGGATTTTCCCATGATCAAGTATGCTTGTTAGATAGATGTTATGATGTCGAATTTTACTTGGTGAGTGAAAAAAAAAAAAAATGGAATAAAAGTGGTTAAGATGGTGTAGTCATCATCCTAACAGAACTTGACAAATTGTTCTTGGTACTTTGTGGTTACCATTTTATGTTATTTGCCATCCTATCCTTTCATTTAGGATTGTTCCACAGTACGTATAGCTTTTGGAGTTGGTTCAAACAGAGCTATCTTGTGATGATTTTGTGAACGTGAGAGCTTTTTCCCTTGCTACTTCTTCTTCTATTTGGTTTATGCCTGGAAAAAGTTTAGTTGAGGTCAATTCCCATGTAGTTTTCTAGAATAGATCTTCAAAAGATTGTGCAGTCAATGATTCTCCATTCAGGTAGGGGTATCTTGGTCGAAAGATTCTGTAGCGAGGGCAGCTGGTGTTTTACATGCTCTTAATACCTGAGTAATTTTGAATTTCCTTTCGCATAGATGAAGATTTTGTTAGCTGTGACCATTTGTTAGGAAGTTTTCCAAATCACTTAGGTGACTTTGAGTCTCACATATGTGAAGCTCGCTTCTTTTGTTAGTTTTTAGGTTTTGTCTCCTCAGCTTTTTTTTTTTTTCCCCCTTCGTTATCTAACCTTGTGTACCTTCCAAAATTCAAGTTGAAATTAGAAAATCGAAGTTATCCACTATTTACAGGGTTATTTATTTATTTATTTATTTATTCTCTGTTTTACATGTGTATGTATGGTTCAGAAAGTAACTAAACTTTGGTCTGAATTTGCACTGCTTACTGATGTTGTGTGCTAACCGTAACAGACATGTACACGCCTTAATATTCCATTGGTGGTGTGAGGTATCACTATACCGTCATGAAACAATGCACATTGCACATATTTGTAATCTGAAAATATAAATTTAGAAAATAAATACAAATAATAATAACTATGTAACAACACTAATGCAAAGATCAAAATTGGCACAAAACTTACAAATTTCATTTTACTGAATTTGTCCTTACACTGATCAATTGTGAACAAAACAATGCTGGCATGTGTCAACTCCAGGGAAGAGAGTAACGCGTACAAACTGCCTGCCCTGTCTTGACTAGCATATGGTTAATACATCAGATAGATTAACATGTACTACTACTTTTTGGACTCTGGCCTGCTCTTGGCATAGGAACTTGTGGACTCATGTCCATGTTTTCTGCTGCTGATTTCATGGCTGCATTCAGGTAGACAGATCCTCCGAGTATCCAATCATCGGCTTAATGGCTATAGAATTCTTCAAATGGCTCTCGATACAAGGGGCATGCTTTTTAGTCATCGGTGGAACTCACCCAATCCTCATCTTCTTTTTCCTTCTCTACAGGAGCATCAGCTTTCATAAATCCAGGAACTGCAGCAACTTCTGCGGTAGCAGCCAGCCACGTATCAACACCAGCAAACCACTTACAGGGAAACCCTTTGCTTTTGTTTCTGCTTCTGCTGCTGAGGTTTCTGAGCTGTTTGGTTCTTTATCACATGCCAATCCATATGCTTGCTATGATCTTCCTGGCACTCTAATCTAATTCCACATCTTGTGCATTGTCTAGGCATATCAGCATCTAGCGATCTAATCACAGATTCGTGCCTCACCTTGAGCTTCTGATTCAAGCAAGGTTTTACAATGGGAGGATTTGGCACTGAATGTATAGGGCTTGTCAATACTCCATTAGGGAACTCCATTTTTTTACCACCTCCAGCTTCTTGCCTTGAAACTTTGCAAGACTGAAAACCCATTGTGAACCCCCAGCTTCTTGCCTTGGTATTGCTGTGGAACTGGGGGATATGCCCCGGAAACGACAGTATGATTAGCCTCTGGTCTCCATGCTTGAAAACCCTGCACGAAAGCCTCACTTTTTATCTCTGGTTTTGTGGCTTGATTTTGTTGTGAAGCCTGAAAATTGAGCGCAGACACCCTATTATTAAACTCTGGCTTCTAGGATGGAAATTGTTGTGAATCTTAGAAATTTTGGATTGAACTGGAAACCCCATTATTTCTTTCTGGCTTCTGGGAGTCGAAATGTGGTAGAAACTTGGGAATGAAAACCCCGTTATTATGATCAACGCCCTGTTTCTTGGCTTGAAACCCATGCTGATGCTGCCGCTTAACAACTGGGTGCGTATTAGGAACTGCCCTCAGGGTCTTGTCTTGTTAATATTGCTGCAGCTATATCTTTATTTTTTGACAAAATTAAATAAGAACAATAAGCAAACAAAGAAAATCTAAAAAAAAGATAGAATCTTGCTAGAGAAAAATAGATTGTGTTTCCTGGTAATAATGGAAGTGAAAGATTTGTGTTTATAGGCAGCTCATTTTTAAAACCCAATCTAATGACTTGATAGGATGAATTATTACACGATTTTGGTGCTCCACCTAAGATCATAAAAAGAAGAAGAAGAAGAAGAAGCAAAATAGCAATAAAAATCAGCGACAGTACATGAATTAGTCGACAAACAAGGATAGGTTAACGAATGAGTAACGATTGTTATCAATCCTTATATATTTTGGGTTAATAGCGACGGATTACAATCTGATTAATGACGAAATATTAGTGATGAAATACATCTATTGTTGAATTAAGTGATAAATTTTTGACGATTAAGTTAGCAATAGAGTACCAACTAAATTGAGGCGAATATTAGCTAAAGATTGTTTTTATCGTCGCTAACTTGGGGGAAATTATTTTTAAAAAAAAATCAATGATAGAAAAATATCTTTAGTGACAAACACAATTTCATGTTGATTGTTGGGAAAATTGACATAATTTTAAAATTCAAACTCGCTTTAGATTGTTAAGACATGATTCTCCAAAGTCTACCGCAACTAAGTCTCCATCTCGCTACTACAAGTTTTTCTCCTATTAGACTTCTCAACAACAACCTAATTCTTTCGGATAACAACGATCCGATTCTTTCAAATAATGTTATGTAAAGATGTATGTAGATAACTCTTATCAATTATAGATAATTAAGTAGTTTGTACATATTTAGATTTTTACAAACTCACTACTTCTAACGCTATAAAAGGACAACTAATCTTAGAAGCTGAAACATTATTCATTAAATCTCAAATCTCTATTTTAACTTGGTATCAAAGCTTACAAAGGGCAACATTATTGTTTTTTCTCTTCCTACTAGCCAAGCCATTTTTTCTCTTCCTACTAGTCAAGATCCTATTTTTTCTCCTTTAGCCAAAATCCTTCCAAATTATTCCAACCCACTATCCAAAGGCTTCCTTTGGTAATACTTTTCATCCACTACCGCTCCATCGTAAATCACACATAACCCATCTCCATTTAGTTAGCTAACCCATGCCAATCATTTTATCTCTTTAAAACTCAATATCACCAATTTCTTGTTATGGTGTGTTCAAATGAAACCATTCCTTCTTGTCTAAGGCCTTGTCGGCTTTATTGATGGATCTAATCCTTGCCCTCCTAATCAAATTTACATAATTGGAGTTACCTCACCTCGGTTTAATCAATATTTTATCGCTTGGGTTCAACGAGATCAGCTTGCTTATGAGCACTTTTATCTCCTCTCTCTCTCTACTAAAATTCTCCAAATGATTATTGATCGCACCATATCTCAAGAGGTGTGGTATTTTTTTAGCATGCTCTTACCTCTCATTCTAGCACCCGTTTGATGACCTTGCACCTTTATCTTCCGAAATTACACCAAGAACACTATGAACTCGTTTCTCAATACCGCAGAGCATGCAAAATTCTACAGATGATGAACTCACCTGCAGTTGGATGTCCTCTTCCAACCATTGATTTCAATCTATATGTGTTTAAAGGCTTATCCAACGACTTCAAGGATATTGTTACTACATTATTCACGTGATTAGAACCAGTCAATTTCTTTGATCTTCATAGTTTGCTCCTTAGCCCTAAGTTCTTATTTCATGACTCCTCCTCCGATCTCTCTCCTTCGCATCAAATATGGGTTTGTTACCCATTCCACCAATTGCAAATATGATCTATAAAACCACATGCTTTTCTACGGGACATTTTAATAGTCCAAATTGTAGTAGGGGTCGCTCTTTCCATGGGAAATGGGCATTGTTGAAATTATAACGTGTATGTTCCTAATTTTGGTGCCGACAATAAAGGCAATTGGTCTCAAAATGAACATCAAAACAAATATTAGATCTCGCTCCTTTTGAAATCACACGGTAATAAATTACCTAGAACAAATGCCATACCTTTTTTGTGCCTCCGTAAATCTTTCTACTTTTAATCTCTCTTCTTCGAATTCTCAATCATGATGTCCTAACATAGGTGCTTCTCACCATGTGATCCTAGATTTAGCAAGCCTCGGCACTTATGAGCCTTATCTTGGTACTAATTAGTTATATGTTAGCAATGGTGAGTATTTACCCATTCATCATATTGGTTTAAATCATATTCACACCCCTTTTAAAACTTTTAAAATTGTTTGATATTCTTCATGTTCCCTAAATACTAGACCTTTACTTTTTTGCCAAAAGATTTGCATAGATAACAATTTATTTTGGCAATTTCACCCTTTTTCTTTCTGTCTAAGGACCAGGAGCACAAGACTCCTTTTTTTCAAGCCTAAGTGATGCTAACCTCTACTTTCTCGCCTCCTTCCACTATGTCCACTCCTCATGTTTACTCTATCCATGCTTCTCCAAATATTTGGCACTTCGATTGGGTCATCCGTATAAAGGAGTCTTAGCTTTTATTTTGATAAAACATAGTTCATCATCTTCTTCCAAACTCGATTAGTCCTTAGTTGTTTTGTCCACTAGGGAAAACAAGTCGTCTATCATTGCCTTCATCTCCAAATTTGAGTACTAGATTTTTTAATTTAATTTTTAGTGATGTATTCTTACTACTTCGATTGATGGTCACAAATATTACGTAGTATTCATAAATCACTTTTCCAAGCATATTTGATATTTTTCAATATGTAAAAAACCATCGGATTAAAAAATTTTGGTTGTTTTTGCTTCCCATATTAACATCCCTATAACAAACGGAAAATAGATTTTCTATCAATGCCTTGTGTTTTCCTTGGCTACAGATCCATCTCATTTAGGGTATCGTTGTCTTGACTAAACTACAAATCAATTTTATATTGTATGCCATGTTTATTTTGTCGAAAATATTTTTTCATAGGCTCATAAAGACATTCCGAAACCACCTTCGTCTCCATGCCTTTTGCTTCTCCTTGGGGAAGCTTTCCCGTTCATCATCAAAATCTTTTCTCATATTCCGTATACGAGTCACCAACACTTCCGAGCTAGCCTATGCACTCCTAGGTCCAGCCCACTCCTTTTTATAAGCTAACAAGTTTATGAGGTCAACTCATACCAAAAGAGCACAAGCCCCAACCTAGTCTTACCTATCCACACCCATGCCTCAACTTCTTCAAGCCCATCCCACTACTTTAAGTGCCTTACTACCTAAACCCAATCTTGTTCTCCCTCCCCTACTACAATAAATTCTCCCCCTAAATCATACCCCGTAGCTCCTTTTCAATTGCAAGAGTAATGACCTTCATCTTCATCACCCTTCACTTCCACCTAGAACTTAACCTCTTCACTCCTCCATAAATACAACTTGCTTAGCCTTTCAAAACCAACGTCCGTCGTAACCTCTTCTTCCTCTCCAAACAACTCCACCTCTCGCCCCATCTAGCTTGAACTTAGTCTTAAATTTCGTGAATATGATATGAAACCTCCAAAACCAACTACAAACCCGCAATTTGTTAAGGAACCCCAAAGAACTCATCTAGTCTATTATTTAAGCCATCTCGTTTCTTTGGTTGTCTCCCCTAGTTAAATTTCGAAACACCATCTTATTACATTCAAGCAAAGAAATTTATAGAATGAAGATTGGCTATAACTCGCTGAATTTTTTTCTTTTTTTTTAATTGGATGTAAATGCATTCGTAACGTATAGTACGCGTACGCACACACACACATACTCAAATGAATTATTAATAATAACTTCATTTTTTTTTGTTATTTAGTTATTATATTTAGTTTGGGTGGTTTGTTGTGTGTAAGGTTGAATATTTGGATAAACAATTATTCAAATTATAGGATTGTTTTCCATTATCCTAGCTAACTTTTTTATCTTTTACCCTATCAAATAAACCTGAATTTTTTACCCATTAGCCCATTTTATTATTATTATTATTTTACCTAAAATGCCAAAAAAAACTACTACAATTTACTAGCTAAAATTAGATCCGATGAACGTTTTGACTAAATAAAATTAGGTTTAAACAAATTACAAGTCCATTGATTTAAAAATTTATAAATAAAAAATATAATTTGGGTGATTTTACTTTTTTAAAATTAAAAAAATTTATTACTTGAATTAGCTCATAAAATTCAACTCTTTAGGATCATTTTTGAATAGTACTCACATCGAGGTTTATGCTAATAAAGTTTTGTACTATCACTCACTTCAAGGGTCTATGTTTTTTGTTTTCAAGTGTGCAATTTTTTATTAAGTTCAGAAATAAGAATATTTTCAAATTAATATTTTGCATATCTCAAAACTAATTTCTTTTTTATGTAACTAAAGAGTATTCTTTAATATAGGATCGACTTAAGATATTTTAAACATAAATTGTCAAAAGTGTTAGTTACACCTATCCTACAAATTGATGCTTGTTTATTAACAAACTATCACCTTATTATAGTTATTTTCAAATATGCAATTGTTCATTCTCATACATTGATACAAAAATTTTCTTTGCTTCTATTTCTGCATTGCCCCATTTATATTATTTTGACTTGCATTTGTAAATTGTTAAGCCATCGTAATATCTGAAGATTGAAATTTCTTTGAATGTGTTTATATATATATATATATATTGAAGTGTTCCTCTAACTATAGCTATTAGTAAAGTTTGTTATGGTGTTTTGTAAATATAACGTAGATGATCTTATAAAAATATATTTGAACTTAAAGAAATATTAATTCGATACTTTTTCTAAGAATTTTTTTTAAAATATTTTTCAACATAACTATATCAAAATCATTTAAAAAATTTAAAATCTAAATATATTACGAAAAATACTTTCAAATACAATAAAAACGGATTGTCAAACACAACCTTAGTCTGCGGACAGCAATCAAATTCCATGACATGATTAAGTAATCAAATTACAATTTTGAGGGATCATCCATCTCGGACCAACTTTTCTTAACCGAAATTAGATCTATATCTTGGGCCAAATAGCTTTTCATTATTGTCAAAGTAATTATTTAAAAATAGGAAATTCGCTGGGCATAATTTTGGGCATTGCTACCCTGCCTGGAGATGTTAGCCTATTTCAAAACTCTAGAGATATAGCTTTATCCACGCGGCAAATGCAGAGCCTCCATTTTCCATCTGTCAGTCACTACAAGAAAGCCACGTATCGTCCAAGAAAATTCTTGTGTTTTCAATCTCACAACACTCCTACGGATCTACCCAATAAATGATCCCTAAATCAGCAAATCATTGATCATAGCTTTATCGTACGGTTAGTAATCGGAGAAAAACATAACCTCTCATGATCACAACTATATTTGGTACAAGATGTTCGTCAGGTCGGCATTAGCAATGGCTTTGAGCCATAGTAGTATAAGCTTAACAACAACATTAGCATCCATTTCTCCAAAAGCCCAATTTGTTATTGCTCCCAAGACCAACCCTTTTGTCTTAGATTCTAGTTGCCTTAAAGTGCACAAAAGAAGCTCCATTTCTGTTCGAGCTATGGGTTCTTCTGCTTCTTCTTCTTCTTCTCAGAAACCTGACAGCATTCAAGGTTCACTCTTCCTCTATTTATAATATCTTCCTTTTCTCGTTTATATAATTCTTGGTTCCATGAAATTTCAATTTTCATTTTGTTGTTTAGTGATTCTGTTTAGACGGTTACACTCATGATTAGGTTGATTATAATGGTATATGTTTTGGACGTACCATTGAATTATGTCATGTTTCACTTGTTTTTGAGCTTTGTTTACTAGTGTTTTCTTTAATACGTGAATTATCAGAAGTTATATTGGGGGATTGATGTAGTTTGTGTGGTATTTGTTATGAAATTATTGGATTCTTGTTCTCTTCTGTGTTAATAGATCATAATGTTATTTTCCTTGTTTCAGAATCTTTGACCTGTATTGAAATTTGTGTGGTAGAATCATTAAAAGATTAGGAATTTGTCTGAGTTTTAGCATGAAGATCAGTTGATAATCCTGCAACTGTTATTTGCCATACTGTATAGTGATATTCTTCCTGGTAGTGTTTAATTTTCATTGTTATTCTGTTGGTAAGTAATTTTTGTTTTTGAGTTTTTCGGTGTTGTGTTCAGTGCGTTATGTTATTGGAATTCTATATCACGCCTTTCATACATCAAAATTCTCAGTGAAAAAGGTCAGAATTTGCAGTTGTTATGCTTCAAGATAGAATTCTTTGAACCAAATGTTGCTAGGATGGCGGTTGTTTACTCTCTCTTTCTCTTGCTTCCATCAAGTTAAGCTACTGCTTCCTAATGAATCTTAACTCATATTTCACTCACCAAAGATTTTACCCCTTTGCACTTAATCAGTTGATCAAATAAATAGTTGAACTCTCCAGTATGACTTGGAAAGTTTCATAGTTGTGTTACCTTTGAAGTTAGAAAGATACACTTTGATTAATCGTGGTGATCTTCAATTCATCTTGATTGTGTCTGACCATGTCCGTGGACTATAACATGCCTAAATTAAATGTGTTCTCTCTCTTGTATTACCTGGTGCATAGTTGGAGAATGAAACTGCATGTTTCCTAGTCTTGGAAGGGGATTCTCTGGATGTGTTATGTCAGACATCATATAAGATGGTAATTTAAGTTTGATTTCCATCTTGAATGGACGTTCTGCTGTCACCTTCTTTTGAAGTGTTGATGAAGAAAATGACAGTTTGGGCAAACAATCTTTTTGGCATCTAAAAATTGAAACTTTGAGAAAACATGAAGTCTATGAGACTGAGGACAGCAATGTCACTGAAATGTAAGGTGGGAGTGAGCTGATTTTTGACAGTCTTTCAACTATCAAAGTGATTTGTTATGAGCTAAGACAGAGTTTGCTGCTGTATTCCTCCACTTCCAAAAACTTTACTAATTTCACCAAGTTGTGAATGATTTATTTGAATCCACTGCAAATGACCAAGTTGACACAGTATCAACTCAATTGATGAAATGCTTTGTGATTTTAGCTCATTATATTCTTGTCCGTTCCATGCAGTGAGAGATATTTTGAAAGTAGTTTTTATTGTTATAACTCAGAGTCACAACTTGCAGCTAAGGATTGAAGCACTTTTCTAATTGGATTGGCTGTATGCAGACATCTATACATACGTAATGTGTGCATGTGTAATCATGCTCGTATTTGTCTGTTTCTGTTGTTTGTTTGAAGTTATGTCTCTGAATTGTTTATTTAAACTTTGGTTTCTCCAATAAGGAGCACCATTCTCAGTGGCAGACAGATTAGTTCCAGTATCCTCATAGGACTTGAGAGATCTCAAAGATGATGATGGTGTGGAACAGTGGACTAATAGATATCATCCTTTATTTATGGAGAAGCTGGTAAGCCTGCTATAGTGTGGAATCTGCAGATGATTACCGGCTTGTGCAAGATAAGCAAAAAACGAATAATCATCCGTCTAAATATTGCATGCAAGTCTAATGTTTCAGTGTCAGAAACCTGGAGAAGCAGTCCTTGTCTTACCTCAGTAGCTTCACAAGGAACATACCACTTCACTTTTTGACTAATGTGAGATGAGGCCAAAATTTTTATCTTTGCCACATTATGGTTTAATGGAAATAGTCCTGAACGTTGGCTTGAGAAATAAGTAGTTATAAGGGCAGATCTGTTGTGGTCGGATAATTCAAAGGAGACTTCATCTTTTTTTTTTTTTTTTTCAAAGGAGACTCCCTCACTTAGCAATTAATCAGTGTTTGTTATATCAGTAACCAAGGTAATGGAGTTCTTGATCATTCCTGGGGGTTCTCAATTTGCAAAAGATTGATAGTCTCAAACTGTGGTGTCCAAGTCAACTGACTGATTTGATTCTTTGTGGCATGGTGAATCTTGTTGATTTAGGGAGATTGTATTCTGAATGTTTAGTGACAAGTAATTGATCCGTATGATTTCTGTCTATAATCTTCTCCGCGCCTTATGGATTGCATGCTTTTCTATTGTGGATCTCCACTACATTATGTCCATTCTCTATTTTAATGTACTCAGGTTTTAAAATGCTTTTTGACAAGTGCTAAGCTCTCTGCAGCTGTTCATACGTTGAAGTTTCTTGACACTATTGTAATGCTCTGAATAGTCTTCTTTATTTTACGAATCAAAATTTATTTGCTGGTTTGTGCTGAAACAGGAGATGTTGACTATGCCTCCTTGAGGGATGAAGAATGGAAGAAGAAGCTTACAGACGAACAATTTTACATCACTCGACAAAAGGGGACTGAAAGAGCTTTCACTGGGTATGATTTATTTAATGTCCTGTAGGTGGGAATTTTACCTGACTAAATATAGGGTGCTTCTGAGATCTTCTCTTATGATTAGAGGCTGGCTAACTTCATCGTGATGTATAATTTAAGAGATGGAAAACACAAAAGTAAATAAATGCAATCTTTCAAGTGAATTGAACCATTTACAATTCACTCATATACCATATCTGTTTGGTCACTGACCAACTTATCTCTGTTTTGCATGCCCCTTGAATTGTTATTAGAAGAAAATACGTTCATCCTGTATGTAACATTAAATAGAAACATTAAAAATTTGCCAATGCATGTCATGTTAAAGGATGCATTGTAGAAATATATGTAATGAGAAAAATCAATGGGCTTATATCATGGCCATGCTACTCTAGGAAGCATTTACTACAAAGATCTTTAAGTGCACGGTGGCAGGAAAAGGATGCTAAATCTTTGCTAACTGTATGGAGTACCAACATATTTACTTCTCTTCTGTTCCACCACTGGTCATTGGTTTGCTAATATCTTAATTTGCCCACTTTCAGAGAGTACTGGAACACCAAAACCGCTGGAACTTACCACTGCATCTGCTGTGATACGCCTTTATTTGAGTACGTGCCTCGCTTCGATCTCTTGCTGGTGCAATTTTCAATATAACTGATTGGAATGTGTTCTTCCCTGCAGATCATCCACTAAATTTGACAGTGGAACTGGTTGGCCATCGTACTATCAGCCCATAGGAAATAATGTGAAGTCAGAGTTAGACTTGTCAATTATTTTCATGCTTCGTCAGGAAGTTGTCTGTGCTGTTTGTAATGCTCATCTAGGGCATGTATTTGACGATGGTCCCCCACCCACAGGACAGCGTTATTGTATCAATAGGTAATATCCTTCAGGTCCGAAACTCTTAATTTTAAAACCGTCTTTCTTGCGGACTTCATTTTAAACATCACTCGTCATATTTGCAGCGCTTCCTTGAAGCTGAAGCCCAAATAAGAGACCGTTGATCTGGAAAATTTCATCTTTATGTTAAAGTTGAGTGGTGGTGCTTGTTTTGTACATACGCAAAATGTACGTCACCTGATTAGCTTCTCAAGCTCCCAATCTGCTAGATGTTCACATGCAACTATACAAATAAATCATTTTCGTTTCTTTTATATTTCACATACATTGTTATAAGGAAATAATGAGTTTTATTATGGCATTATATTATATATTTTTGTCCAATCCGAAACTATTATTTATTTATTTTTTCTAGTCTAATATTCCCATCCACTTCACTCCCTGAAACTTGAAGGTCTTGATGACTCATGACTCATGAAACATGCCATCACCACACTTGAGTACTGTGTATTTGTAATTTGGATGGCTACTTTTTTCCGCTTGTTTTTGTTATTTTTCTTTTTTCTATATGGACTTTTTGATACATGGTGGTGGTTTAATTGGACTAGCAGAATCATCAAAGAGGAGCTTTTACTTATTACATTGTTTCTAATACTCTTGGCTGGCTGTATTTGTGTATATGTGCAACATGAATGTAGGGTAATGTTAAGTTCTACATGTGAGTGGAAAATCTTATTAGTCTAGGTCTTTAAGCTAAGGTGGTATCTATTCATATGCGTTAGTCCGTTAGTCCTTTCACGTGTAGGTCCAAGTAACTCTTACGATTATGGTTGGTTATTATGGTTGGTTTGGGAAGAGTGGTTATTGTAACTAGAATTTTTGGTTTTGCCGTTGAATTCTACATATGAGTGGAGAATCTCCCTAGTTAAGGTTTTTGGGTTAATGTAAACCCTTTTTTACTTGCTGGTCTAAGTGATTCTCCAAGTAAAGATATCTCTAGCAAGAAAGCCATCCCCTACCATAAATAGGAGTTTTCTACCATTTGTCTTTGTTGAGGTAAATTAATCTCAAAGCTCCTTGGCATAAAGTTTTTAGAAGTAAATTATAGCTAGGGGGTGAAAATAAATCGGGAAATATGGAGTGACACGTGTTTAGGTTATCTCATCAAATGTAGCTACCAGACAGAGCCATGCAAACAGTCAATTTACTTCAATTTGGTTCCTAATCTTTGTCTGGATCAACAGTCTCCGCTTTTCTCTCCTTTCCCTTTATGTCGTATGCTTGGCTCGAGTATTGCCATTATAAGTACCTCCCAACACCATTCCTGGCAACTAAACTATGATATATATAATTTTAATGTGTTCCTGAGTTGTCGTAATCTTGTAATACAACAAATGAATTCAAATCATGAAGAGGAGTCATTGAACCCTATTAATATCCGATAATCTAGCGGGTCAAAATTGGTGCCTATGTAGACATGTACTAGAGGAATCATTGCGTGGTAAAAGGTCAAAGCTTGTTTGTTGTAGAAAAAAAAAAAATTGAATAAATGATAAGCTGATTGCGACCAAACTCCTTGTTCCAACTTCCATGCACAGACATTAAATATCTTTTATTCTTTTTCTTTATAATATTCCATTTCCTGTATATATATTTATATGGGAAGCTATATAAAAAGAGAGAATTGTGAGTCCTCCCAGTAAATATTTTTGGATTAATTGTTTTGGATCTTGAAGACACAGGCCTGAAGTTATTATAGAACTCTTACATTAGTTTTTTTAAATTATGCAAAGTTGTCGAAGAATACTCACACTTGTGCGCATGTTTTGTCGGCAAAAATGTCAGTTGCTGCCGAATTTTAATCTTATGAAATACAAACATTGGCTGAAGAGAGAAATTATTATAGGATTTTAATACACCATCCAAGACCATAGATTAAACTAATACAATTATTATAAACAATTAGTTGTTTACTAAATCATATTTAGAATACAATTTTTTTTATTTTAATAGTATATTTATAATTATAGTTAATATAAATAAAATTTAATATGTAAAAATTTTATTAATTTCGTGGATAATAGATGGATATACAAATTCTATGTGATAATTTTTCTCAGCCGGAAGAGAGTAGAGCTGGGACGCAAGAGAAGAGAATTCCAAATGTCCAAGCTGCAGACCTGCAGCAAAAGTTCGCTGCCATTATTTTTTTTCTGGCATCTAGTAACAGGCTTATCCAAGTTTATAATATATGTAGTATTGTTCTTTGGGTCAAATCAAAGCCCCCACAACTTTCGTTGAATCAACTCTGATCATTGATGTGACTAACTACATGGACAACTGAAAAATCAAATCCAGACTGGTGCCTTTCTTTTACTTTTCTCATCCTCCTTTCTTACTGTTATTACCAATATTTATATTAGATCCAAAAAGGTCTAACAATTAGAATTTGCATGTGAAGTCTGTAAATTAGAAGATGATTTGTTTGGATAAAAGCTATGTTAATTATAGGTTTTTAAAAATAGGTTTTCAATTAAAATTAGGTGAAAAGATTTTTTTAACGAACTACAAGAAAGTGGACAGCAATGCAATGATCCCGATAAAATGGCAAGTAATATAAACATTAATGTAGCATGAAAATAGCAAAAGTGAATAATCTGGAACGTTGTAAGGGATTGTTGAATCATACCAAGACTATAAATACTGCTCCAGTACAAAAATAAATAAATAAATAAATAAATGCATTTATCAAGACATCAATACAATAATAACTGAATTTTGTGAATTGCAAACAGTTTTTTAAAATACTCTTTTAAGTTGGGTTGATTCTAGTTGAAGTTACCAAACTGATGTTTAATTTGTTTAATTTAATATCATATAAGAAAAAAAACACCAAAAAGCATCATTAAAATAAATATTAAAGCATTGTTGTGAGTTTTTTTTTTATTTTTTTGGCCTTAGGACATTGTAACAAAAGAAGTGAATGATGATTGAGACGTGTTCAATAGGATAGTCAATCTCTCAATCTTGAAGGTAGATAAATCAAATTAAATTGCAAATGTAAATTACATCTATTCCTAATGATAGTTTTGAGATTTTACGTTGTAAAGAAACCAAATTGAAATGAATTAAAAAACTACAATACGCTTGAAAACTCCTTACAAAAAAACCGTAACCTTCCAAGCCGATGGAGTTGCGGGATTGCTAGGATAATAACTTGAAATTGAAGACGATTTAATGTAGAAGTTAAACTCCTTAATCTAATATATATTCTAAATAACGTAATCAAAATTGATAAATTAAAACTATTAAAACGCTAAGAACAATAGGTTGTAATATGAATATAAACTTGACAATTAAGAACTAGAAAGCTTTATAAAGCAATATTATAGTTTTCACAATACTGAATTCAATGAACTTAAAAAAAAAAAAAAAAAAAAAAAAAAAAAAAAACTATGAATATTCATAAATGAAAGCTCAAGACATAATAGATATTGAATGAACTTGAGATGATGAAGATTGTGAGCACAAACAAAAGATTAAGAATTCACTGTCGACTTACAAATTATCTCGCTACGAATTAGCACCTACTAATTAATACCTACTAATTACTACCTACATGTTATTGTCTACAAATTATCACCCACTAGTCGTTATCCAACAAGTTTCAAGTGTGAAACTTATGAAAGTGCTATTTGAGTTGTTTGTAATTTGCAAGAATTTACTTGTATTTTGGTATTTTTATGTGTTCTTCTCTCTAGTTGTAATTGGTATTTATAGGCCTTCTATTCTTCCATGATTTCCGGTTTCGGCTTTTCTACCGTAAGTTGTAGTGCTCTATGTTCTTCTTTCCTTACATTGTAGTGTATTGCTTTGTTATCCTTGTATTGTAATATCTCATGTTCCTTCTAATTATTTGGATTGTGCTTTTATTGCTAGAAGTTTGTTATTCTTTAACTAACTATACACTACTTGTTACTCGTCGTTTCATCCATTTAGAATAGGTTTTTCTCATATTTTCATTCGAGTTCATGATTGTTAGGAGTCCATCTTTTACCGATTTTAGAGGGAGCTCTATCGGTTTTACCTAAACTAATTGATTGGGTTTAATATAATTAATGTGCATGGCGGGCTTAATGAGGCCTTTCTTTGAATGGAACGAACTTATTGGACTTTTAAGTGAAGCCAACTAACAAGGAATGAGAAGAACTCATTACACTCATTAAAAAATTTGATGGGTCTTCTCTATCTTTTATATCTAATTTATTAGGCCATGGTCAAAATAAATTTCGAGTATAACAAGTACATAAAGTAGTTAATTTAATTTTTAAGACTTCATGTCTAAAAATTTGGCTACTTTGTAGACCATTATTCAACTAATAATTGTTCACTATTTTGTTACAAAATTCTTAAAAATCAAGACAAGCATAAAGGAACTTGCAACCCTTACCTCACAAAAATAACTAAAAAATAAAATAAAACATAAACATAAAATAACAAAGAAGCTTAATTCCAAGAAATTAAATAATGTTTCTTATAAATGTTTTTAGGCTTTACTTAAGCTAAGTGTGAGATGAATTTCTTTTTCACATCTAGTTAAGATTTCATGGACGAGATGACTTGATGAGATCTCTACATAGAAAAATACCGACATGACACATATGCGCACACACACACACACACTAACTCGTTACTTTTTCTTTTAAAAAAAAATACTTCAACAATTTAAATGATCTTTATTAGTAGATCATATTCAAAATTTGAAAATGATATTAAGAAATTTAGAATTACAAAAAGCCAAGTACATGCCTTCATTTGTAGCACAAAAAAATCAAACTTTGAGGTGAGCATTTGGTTTTTTAGTTCGGTTTTAAATATTTTAGTTCGAGTTTTCAATTAATCGAACTAAAAAAAAGAATTTGAACAGAATTTCAATTTAATTTTTTGGTTTATAAAATCAAAATTTCAATTTTGAGGTTTAGTTTTTTTAATGAAAACTAAATTTTTTTTTCAACCATTTTTTTTCAAATAAGATAATAGAAATAGACCAAAATAATTATATTATGGATTTTTCCTCTAGTTCAAATATTCTAAATTAGCCTATATAAAAGGTAATAAATATTTATTTAAATAAATCATTAACTTCATTATCCATAATAGAAATATAAACCATTTAGCAAATAAATAATACGAGATGATAATAGTAAATAAAAAAAATATGATATTAATTATTAAAATATTCCAACCGGAATAGATATACAAACTAATTATCCATTAACTTTTGGGTTAATGGTTCAAGATGCCCTTCTACTGATTTGTTTGTCTTAATCATTTTTTTTATTAAATTTTTCATTAATTTCATCTCTCATCTTTAACTTTGCATCTAAATTTTGGCTCTCCATCCAAATTTTCATGCAACGATGTTAATTTTTAACGAAGAATGCACAACATGTTGACACGGTGATTTTTTAAAAGTAATAAATTTACGATATAAAAAATAAAAACCCTAAAATGCCCCTCTTTTTCTTTATCTTTTACTTTCTCTCAAATCCAAACCAAAAAGAAATACAAAATCAGTTTTCCATTCCTTTAAATCGGCCATAATAAATTCGGTTATTGTGATCTTCATCAATCACATTTTCCTCCACGAGTCTCCACTTCACCAACAAAGTTGACATTCCCCTGCCTTAACTCTTCATTCCCATACACACTCTAAAACTCCACCGCTCCTTCACTCATCGCATAATGAACCATGCTCTTTTCTCCTCATCTAGTATAACCGAACTCGTTTTCCATCACTTGATGTTTTTGTTCTTTGTATGATGTGCATTTTCGATAACTAAATTGAAATCAATGATTAAATGTACATGGATTGTAAAATCGAGTGGCTTGTGTTTGTATTTGTGTTTCTTTCTTTCTTTTAGTTATGTTTCTCCATTGGATTTGATTAACAACATCAACGATTAGGGATGAAAAAGAAGGAACAATGGTTGTTGGAAATCGTAATAGGAATTACTAGCCTTTTAAGAGAACATGTTAAGAAGGATTTTGGTTAGTTCAATGGCTATAAATAGGTTTAGAGGTGTGAAGTATGGTTGTGGTATGGTTGTTAGAGGGTTTATTGGTAGTGGTTGATGGGGGCTTGTCGGCGGTGGTTGATGGCTAGAGTTTTAGTAGGTTTATTGGTGAGAGATGATGAGTAGAACCGTGGTAAGTGGTCTCAAAGCTCGGAGAAGTGGATGCGTAGTTGGTCTCGGAGTTAGGGATGATGGATATGGAGGTGTGCATGGTTATAGAGAATGGTGGATTGACATTAAGGTGTGGCTAGAGTGGAGTGGTGGATCGATAGAGAGATATGGTTCCGAGTGATGGGTTAGTGTTAAAAAGTTATTGTGAAACGAAATGAAGAGGTGTGTGTGGCTAGTAGGGTTGTTTTGGTAATGATAAGGGACTAGGAAAGTAGATTGGTTGTGTTAAAGTAGTGGCAAATCGATGATATTGGATATGGCTATGAATCGACTAGGTAAGACTATTATGGGAGTAAAGATTGGTAGTGATGAGGGTTGTGATAATGAATCTTTGGTGAAGAGGGTCGGTGATGATCGATGGGAAGGAGGATTGGTGATATAGGGGGCATTTTGATTTTTTTTTCTTTTTTCATTTCATAAATTACTTTGTTTCTTTTCAAAAATGAAACAAAAAATAATAAATATCACGTGTCGGCATCATGTGTCTTTGTTGCTGAAATTTGATATTGTTACTCGAAAATTTAGATATAGGGATGAAATTAAGATGCAAAGTTAAAGTTGAAGAATGTAATTAATGAAACATTTGGTTAAAAGATACAATTAAAACAAATAAAATAATAGAGGGATATACTGAACCATTAACCCATTAACTTTCAAGTCTTAGAATTTCCTATTAAAAAAACCCCATTAAGCCAAATAATCTAACAAGTAAATAAAAATTAAAAACATACTTATGTCACCTAAAATATTATCAATTCATCATATATCTATAATAATGTTAAATTATTAATTTTTATTTTATTTATATTATTTAAAAAATTTAGAAAAATAAATTATAAAAATAAATAAATTTGGTTTTCGATTTAAATCAAATCGAAGCTGAAAAATCAAAACAAATTTGACATTTTTTTTAGTTCGAACCAAACAAAACTTGATATTTTAGTCTGGTTTGATTCAATTTTTTGGTTTAAACCAAATCATGCTTGCTCCTAATCAAACCTTCAATGAATGATAAAAGATTTCCTTTATATATTTATTTACATATGGTCTCAAGTGTAAAATATTGAATCCCACTACACATGTCTTTTTATGGCATCCATAAGAGTTAGACTTGTTTTTTCGATTCAAAAAATCTAGGGGGCTTGGAATCTTTGGATTTAGAACTAGTTCATTTACACCTTCATGTGTCCAACTAAACATATATGTTATTTGATTCGTATCATTATAATACTTTGTATTGGCTATCCTAAAGGTGAAAAACTTATAAGCCTATAATTATATATCAATTATTGTTTTAAATTGAAACAAACTTAGAAACTCCAATGTCAACTTCCCGTAGGAGGGTGCATCCACTTTTAATAAACCAACCCAATCTATACTATCTAGCATTTTCCTAACCTCATTCAACAACCCAGTAATTTCTAATGCCTAAAGATCAATGTACCTATTAGGCACTATTTTCCTATTTTTCAACACATTATAATGAAACTCTTGATCATCATTAGCAAATTCAATTCTTGTCTAAATAGGGTGAGTACCGGATCAAGGTGGGTAGCCTTATCATTGGGCCATCATTTTTTAACGGGCTCTCTTCTCTAGTGCTTGTTACTTCCTTTCCTTTATCTCTAGAGGTTGACATTGTTATCTTGGGTTAAGATTGAGTGGAAAAAGATGAGGATTTTTTGGTTGAGAAGGAGTGGTGAAGACAAGGTTCTTTGGTGGGTAAGTGATGAAAGGGTTGTGTTTGATTTATAAAGGTGGAATGGTGTGACAACTAATTATTTTTTTAAGAGAGATGAAGAGTTGCAAAAGATGAAGAGATGAAGGGTTCGAGTGGCTATAACTTAAAATTTGGAAGAAGATAAAGTTACAAGGGTTACGAGTTGGGTTTATATAGGGATAGGTTTTTATGTAGCAAGCTATGTCTCTTGGGTTGGAAAGAGAGACACACTCATGTAGAAAAAGTATACAAACCGTATCTCTTCCCCTTCTACCTACGTGCCTTTTCTTCTTTCCAACCGAGTGCAATATTTCATATTCCACACGATCTTGTGGCATTCCTTCTTCAAACGAGTGCAAAAACCTATTACTCGTGTGCCTTTTCTTCTTCTTAACCATTACAACTTTTCATATTTCACACTATCGTGTGGCATTCCTTCTTCAAAAAATGCAAAAACCTATCGCTCATGTCTATTTTCTCCTTGTACTTGCATTTGGCAACCACAAATCACACATGGGCATGCCTCTTTATGTGTGTGAACCGTGCTTCTTATCTACTACTCATGTGACCCACTTTTTATACTTGAACTTTTAGTCGAACACATATATATGAATGTGTTTTTTACCTATACAAATGATGTAAGGTCTTACCGCCGGAGCGTGTGTGTTTCTTTTCTTCCCTTAACACACCAAAACACCTAGGCTGTAAAAATCTTCCAAATCAAGTCAAGCATTAGAGAATTTAAAGAAAAATTAAATAACTAAATTGAAAATTAAATTGAAACCCAAAATTTATAAAAATCATTAGGTTGCCTTCCAATAATCACTTTTATTTAATATCGTTAGCTCGACATTACCTTTCCCATCAAGAGGGATCTTTCATTTTCAAGTTTGGACTTGACCTTCCTTACACCTTAGTATCAACTACATTATGAATATTGAACAAAACTAGCTCACTATCAAATTCCATAGTGAGAGCTCCCTCATGGACATTGTTGTTTGTCCTTGTTGTCTTAAGAAATAACCTCTTTAATAAGAGGAGTATGGGATTATAGGAAGATTTATCTCCTATCTTCAAGTTCTAAAAGTTGACCGGAATCATAAATGTATCTACCTATATAAGAACGTCTTCTACTACCTCTTCGGGGTAAGCCTTAGTGCGATCAGTTAATTATATGATAACATTAGTATCTTTTAAAAATCCTAGATTTAATGCAACATACATAGAATATGACATCAAATTGATCAATGCCCCTATCTAGCATAGCTTTGTCTATCCTATTATTACCAATTTGACAAGGTATTGTAAACATACCTAGATCTAAGCAATTTGGGAGCAATTTTCCTTTATAACACAATAAAAACATTCTCCCCCATTATTACTTTTTTTGTTTACGTCTAGTTTTCTCTTGTTTGTGCATAAGTCTTTCAAGAACTTAGCATATCGAGACACCTATTTTATTACCTTCAAAAGAGGTATGTTCACCTCGACCTTGCTAAACAAGTTAAATATCTTCTTTTCTTTCTCCTTTTTCATCTCTTCTTTTTTAGGTCTTTTTAACCTACTAGAAAATGATACATGATTAGTTAAAAACTAGATAGAAGCATTAGAATTTACCTTAGGGCTTGGTGTAGCCTCATCAATTGGCATGCTCTTTTTCTCTTTTTAGTTCTAATCTTTATTCCTTTTCTACCTTAGATACTCTCTTGCTTGATTTCTCTACAAGAGCATCGCTTCTCAAGGTCATGGCACTCATATTTTTTGTTGGGTTTACTATCATTTAGGATGGCAATTTCCCTCCGACTTGAGCCTCTAGATGACTTATAGTAGTTTCTATTTAACTCACTCAATTTTCAAGGTTCGAATGCTTAACCTTATCTCTTACTAGAATCATTTTGCACTCAAGGTAAGAGACTTTACTATTTATTCCAATGAATTATCCGAATGTTGGGGGGCATATTGTTGAAAAGGTTTAGGCTGATACCCTTGTTGCCTTTATTAGTAGAAATTTTACCCACCTTGTCGATTACTCCATCTCATATTGAGATGATCTCTCCAACCAGGATTATAGGTGTTAGAGAAAGGGTCATAAGGTCTTGATTGACCACCACTAAAGTTTCTAGTAGCATTAATAAGTTCAATATGCCCCTTTTCCAATGTTAGGCATGCATTAGTAGTATAACTCGTAATCTACAAAATCTCATAAGCTTTAATAACTTATAGATTCACCATAGCTATTTATCTCACAAGTAAAGTCAAGTCGGATATTTGTTGTTCTAAACTAGAAATGTTAACTCCATTTATCCTTTTTGGTGCATGATTAACCTTTGTACCAAACTATTGTGAATTTGTAGCCATGTTGAATTTTAGGGCTCTTGCAGTATCGAATGTCTTTTCAATCGGTTCTCTTCCACTAGCAGCATCTATCATGCTCCTTTTCATAGGGTTCAATTCCTTATAATTAGCAATTGATAAAAAATCCGGTGGTGTGGGCAACCGGTATATAACTTCTTGAATCACTCTCAATATTCATATAGTGTGTCTATATTAAACTGTCTAGTACCATAAGTCTCTTTTTATATACTTAGAGCTCTCAAAGTAGGAAAATATTTTAATAAGAAAACTTACTTCATCCCGTTCTATGAATCAATAGATCCCATAGGGAGATCATATAGCCAGTCTTTAGCATTCCCATCCAATGAAAAAGAAAATGCATGTAGTTTAATTTGCTCCTTCGAAACTCCTTGTGGTCTCATGGTTGAGTAGATTACATAGAACTCCTTTAGATGTTTATAGGAATCTTCTCTAACAAGGCCTCGAATTTTGGCAATAAGTGTATCGGTCCTAATTTTAGTTCAAACGCAACATCAAGATTGGGGAACTCAATACACAAGGGTTGCGATGAAGGACGAAACGACTGACTCTTTTAAAGTCCTATTTGCCTTATTTACAGCCATTACCTCTCCTTCAAAATTATTTGATTACAAAATTTCAAGAACGAGTAGTTATGCTCGTTAAAATGACTCTCTTGGATTATTCAATCCTCTATATTAAAGCTAGTCTAGCTTTTCTTCTCAATTTGCTCAATTCTCTTTTCAACTTAGGGTTGAAAATCAAAACACTTGGTTATAACTTGTTCATATACCAATCCAATAAAAACTCAAGAATAGTCAAATTACTCGAAATAATTAACTTTAGTGCAATCCTCTTCAATAACGGCATCAAAATTTTATAGCATGTCATTCCACTAATAAATTAGTATTTTATTTTATCCTCATAGAACCTAAACACTATAGTGTAGATAGGTAAAGTAAGTTTTAAACCCAAAGAAAGAAGGTTTAATTAACAATTTCTCTCGATTGATTGTTCTTGTAGTGCAAACGTAGTAAAAAAATGTTTTTTTGTTTGAAGTGTTCGTGAGCAATTAGATTAACTAGAAATAACAATATTAAGGGAGCCTTGGTTGAATTTTAGATCCATTTTGGATTTGATTGATGATTATCGATGCAATTATTAACTTATCCTAAATATGAATATTCATCATACGACAATAATATGTATGTTGTCCTTAATCTTTCTTTACTAATTCGTTAATCGAATATATGATACTCGATTAATTCCTTCGCTATCGAATAACCTACTAGACAGGTAGATAGATTTAA